CCGACCGTGTTTTTTTGTTTACGTTTTTTTTTTTTAACACTACCGGTGCCCCTAGGGCAACCCCTGTATTTGATGCCACAACGCTATGAACTGTGGGTAATTTCCTTACCGTAAGGTCGCATTGATACTGACCTACGGTAAGGGGGCATAAAGGGCTCACTCACTGACTCACTGACTTGATGATTTGACAATGGGACAGCCCTCACATACTCACTCACTTCACATGAATGCGCCTCTAAGTCAGTGAGTCTGTAAGGGATTGGATTGGAATTGGGCCTCCCTCTTTTCAAAGAGGCCATGCGGTGGCGGGGGGTGTGGCCAGCCCAACAGATTCTGATAGGTCTGTTTGACCATCAACATGCAACATGTCGGATGACACTTCCGAGGAAGACTGGAGTCACAGTCGAAACTGTCAAGCAGGTAAAAGAAACATCTCCTACACTTTTGTTTGTGAAAACATGGATGCTTCACACAGAGAGGTTCTATACAGTCAGCACAGTTGTAAGATTAGTGTAACCAATTCAGTGTCTGACCAAATGTCTTCCCCTCTGTTCCTGAGATATGGCGTTAAATAATGGCCAGACAGTAATGTTTTTGATTACTCGTTACTGAAAAAAGTAACCGTTATTCCCATCACTGGAAATGTTAGCATATGAATTCTGGAGTTACAGCCAAAAACATGTATTATGAGGTCACAGTGCCCTTGACCTTTGACCTTCAACCATCAAAATCAATTCATTCATATCCAAGTGTCTGTTCAAAGTTTATGTGAATATCTGAATAAATAAAATGTATGTTTAGCCACCGAAAGTAAACACCTGCATAGCTTGGAACCTGACATAAAAAAAAGGTGTTTTGAACATTCACCACTATTTAAATCCAAAACGGCCACCATAGAGAATTTCAAAAAGATGGAAACATTAGTTTTCATATTCCTCATGTTCTATCGATTCCAATAATGTATAATTTATCAACTCCGCAAGAATTTTGAACAAAAAGGAACTGGACCTTCACTCTCAGGGATGAGTTATGGCTGGTTTTGAAGCTTTTGTACCCACAGTTTATACATTAGTAAAGTAAAACTATCAAATAAAATCATATTTTGCTGCCTCTCACAGCAGCTGTAGACTGAGGAAAAAAAATGACTGAATTCACTTTGCCAACTGCCAGCAACTTTTAAGGTGAAAAGTTTTCTTGCATGTTATTCAATGCATGAGTTGACAACATGAATCCATCAACACAACTTTAAATGTCAGTGCAACAACTCTGACCATCTCATTTGTTGCTGTTGTCTTTCTTGAATGACATACACTTTAGTGATGATTGGATCTTTAAAGATTAAAAAAATGTATAGGAATTCCAATCTGCATAATATTCTAATCCTCAGTTGAAGAAAAAACGTGGCAGAGTGTCGTTCCTTTGCACCCGGCAGCACTAGGCCAACATGTACTGACAAGGACTCAGTGCACAAACCCACTATTTTAAAGTTTCCCATGGAGAGAGTATCTCGCTCCAACTTCCTCTTTTTTGTTCTGAAAATGTTGGCATGCCAACATTTTACAAGAGTAAATACAGCAAAGGCTGAAAAGAGCAATGAGTAACAACCCCGCCTAGTTTTAAGATTACTGTCTGTGGTGGAAACACTAAACAGATCAAGGTAAAAGTCTGTCAGAGTTACTGTTAGTTCTAAAGGTACTATACCACAAGTTTTTGGTGGAAACAGGGCTATATGGGCTGCTGTATGTCAAGAGAAAAATGTCCTCAGAACAGTGAGTTGGACATGCAACTGTTACATGTTGCGCCATGAAAGCAATTGGAGATAAAACCACTGACAACTTAACCATGTGTCAAGATGCTCCACCAAGGGCATAAATATAGACAGTGCAGGCAGTGCAGTTGCACTGGGCCCATTGGGTGGGGGGCCCTTGAGAGTGATTTCCACCTCAAAAATACAACAGTACAATATAAATTATGCTGTCAAAGTAAATGTGTTAATAACGAGGCAAAGTAAATTCCTTCTAACACCACAATTTTTTTGATTTGTGGTTAATGCATGTACATTCTGTAATTATGGTCCACCCGTTTGGGAAATTAGGAAGCTATTCAGCAGTTATGTTGTGAATGGTAAGCAGAAACAAACCTCCAGGAGCAGAAATTGATAAAGAAAGGGGTCTTTTGAACAGAAATTTGCATCTACTGTTGATGTGAATTGAGTTACCACCTGAGTATGTCAAGCTGCTTAAAAAACAGGGGATGTTTACATTTTACATTGTGTTACTATTACTTAGTAATGTTACATTCAGGCCAAAATGTCCATCTGCTGTTGCTTGTTGGGCTTGAGTTTGCCATGGTATGCTTTCAGCATATTTTTTTAACATGCAGTACCTTTACAGTTATTCTGGAGAATAAACTGGACAGTATTTGTCATTGTTCTGGATTGTTGCAATAACAATAATAATACATTTGCATAAAGCAAGCATATTTTTTTTAAAAAAAGTGCAACTATGAAGAATAGCATGTAGCCTATATATATATATATATATATATATATATATATATGTACAGTACAGGCCAAAAGTTTGGACACACCTTCTCATTCAATGCGTTTTCTTTATTTTCATGACTATTTACATTGTAGATTCTCACTGAAGGCATCAAAACTATGAATGAACACATGTGGAGTTATGTACTTGACAAAAAAAGGTGAAATAACTGAAAACATGTTTTATATTCTAGTTTCTTCAAAATAGCCACCCTTTGCTCTGATTACTGCTTTGCACACTCTTGGCATTCTCTCCATGAGCTTCAAGAGGTAGTCACCTGAAATGGTTTTCCAACAGTCTTGAAGGAGTTCCCAGAGGTGTTTAGCACTTGTTGGCCCCTTTGCCTTCACTCTGCGGTCCAGCTCACCCCAAACCATCTCGATTGGGTTCAGGTCCGGTGACTGTGGAGGCCAGGTCATCTGCCGCAGCACTCCATCACTCTCCTTCTTGGTCAAATAGCCCTTACACAGCCTGGAGGTGTGTTTGGGGTCATTGTCCTGTTGAAAAATAAATGACCGTCCAACTAAACGCAAACCGGATGGGATGGCATGTCGCTGCAGGATGCTGTGGTAGCCATGCTGGTTCAGTGTGCCTTCAATTTTGAATAAATCCCCAACAGTGTCACCAGCAAAACACCCCCACACCATCACACCTCCTCCTCCATGCTTCACAGTGGGAACCAGGCATGTGGAATCCATCCGTTCACCTTTTCTGCGTCTCACAAAGACACGGTGGTTGGAACCAAAGATCTCAAATTTGGACTCATCAGACCAAAGCACAGATTTCCACTGGTCTAATGTCCATTCCTTGTGTTTCTTGGCCCAAACAAATCTCTTCTGCTTGTTGCCTCTCCTTAGCAGTGGTTTCCTAGCAGCTATTTGACCATGAAGGCCTGATTGGCGCAGTCTCCTCTTAACAGTTGTTCTAGAGATGGGTCTGCTGCTAGAACTCTGTGTGGCATTCATCTGGTCTCTGATCTGAGCTGCTGTTAACTTGCAATTTCTGAGGCTGGTGACTCGGATGAACTTATCCTCAGAAGCAGAGGTGACTCTTGGTCTTCCTTTCCTGGGTCGGTCCTCATGTGTGCCAGTTTCGTTGTAGCGCTTGATGGTTTTTGCGACTCCACTTATGGACACATTTAAAGTTTTTGCAATTTTCCGGACTGACTGACCTTCATTTCTTAAAGTAATGATGGCCACTCGTTTTTCTTTAGTTAGCTGATTGGTTCTTGCCATAATATGAATTTTAAAAGTTGTCCAATAGGGCTGTCGGCTGTGTATTAACCTGACTTCTGCACAACACAACTGATGGTCCCAACCCCATTGATAAAGCAAGAAATTCCACTAATTAACCCTGATAAGGCACACCTGTGAAGTGGAAACCATTTCAGGTGACTACCTCTTGAAGCTCATGGAGAGAATGCCAAGAGTGTGCAAAGCAGTAATCAGAGCAAAGGGTGGCTATTTTGAAGAAACTAGAATATAAAACATGTTTTCAGTTATTTCACCTTTTTTTGTTAAGTACATAACTCCACATGTGTTCATTCATAGTTTTGATGCCTTCAGTGAGAATCTACAATGTAAATAGTCATGAAAATAAAGAAAACGCATTGAATGAGAAGGTGTGTCCAAACTTTTGGCCTGTACTGTATGTATGTATATACACACACACACACACACACACACACACACACACATAAATATAAATTATACATATAAATTTGTATAACCCATTCATTAATTATTTCTTGTCATATACAGACCAAAGACATATAAAGATGGGTTATAGGCTATATGTTGTTACTGTCCACTGTAAGGAGATGATACAATATGAGGTAGCTAGTTCTGACAGTGGGGTCCGTCATAACTACGTGATGCTACTGTGACCCTCTCCCCTACCTGAAGAGTAGGTGTAGCCTAAGTAGGTGTAGGTGTGGTTGAGGCATGGCTCTGCTGCCGTACCTAAGTTAACTATATAAGTGCCTGCCATGAAATAAAATGAGGACATTTCTGCTATCACTTTGTGATATTGGTTCTTCAATATCACAAACATATTGTATAACTAAACATTTAACATAACTATAAATTGTATTGTTATGTATGTGCAAAACTGTGCAAAAGCTATGAAACCAATTAAATCGTTACCTCGCTGTTTGCCTCTTCCTGTAAACTGCACTGGCGTGTATGATGACTAACTTGTGAATGTGTGTGAACTTCTCTTTACAAATCACATCTGGTAATCCCTGTCCAGCAGCTTTTGATCTTTTTCTAACATTGTTTCAACCAGTGCACAAGTCTAAAAACCTCCCCATTAGAAGCTGTTTGATTTTGACATATACTTCACGAAATGCAGTTTGAACCTTTTCCACGCCATTAAACCCGATCCGTTCCACTTTATATCCAGACCACTATACCACTCCTCAGACTTTCCAAATAAAACGGATCCAGCTGTGTGCGGCTGTGCGCCCTCAGTGCGTCACACTGCTCCGCTGCTCGGCAGACAGGCAGACAGAGAGAGAAGGAGGAAAAGATGTCCGGTATCATGCTGCTGTTGGTATCTCTGAGTTTGTGCTTGTTGTGGGCGACCGACGGCGCGGCGCGGAGCGGGGCACTGATCCTGCGGGACGCCCTGGAGCGGGGCCCGGTCAGTCTGAACGACATGTTCCGAGAGGTGGAGGAGCTGATGGAGGACACTCAGCACATACTGGAGGAAGCTGTGGACCAGGTCTGCGTCATATTTTATTCATTCATACAAGGACAGAGTTGTACAGCCTTTTTTGGAGGGGAAAGTGACGTACAGCTCAAATAACCATGTATCTAGTCATTTATCACAGGACTACATGAAATTTACGAAAGCAGTGGAAATAATCGGTGTCAGTCACGTTTAACTGTTGTGGTAGTCTGCTTAATTTCGACTGTCAGACTGAGGTGTTGCAACACAACATAGTTTCCGTGTCTGCTTTCTGTCTGACACACATCATGTCTGAATGCTATTAATAGTCCTCATCATATTAGTAGTTGCTAAAAATGGATACTCTCCAATCAGCTCAATAAAAGCAAAGCTAATACAGAATAACCCCTGAACTGTACACAGCCAATTTCTTTTTGTTACCAGCCGAGACTCCTGGAAGGCAACAGTAAGATCTGTTATTTTCCCCTGAACTGAATTTCAGCAGGTCTGATAAATCAGCTGATGTTTCAGTAGCCAGTGTGTCTGGTTTTGATTATTTGTGAACTACTGGGAGGTTTCTTTTGGGGAGAAAAAGAGATTAATATCAATCAGTACATGCTATATATCAACAAACTCTTCACAGTTATAGCCACCTTGAGGAGTCATTCACTCCCTCTCCATATGGAAATGTGATGTATGGACATGATAGAAATGCCATGTGTTTTCTTTTATAAAGGATTTATGAATGGATCTCCCATATATCCTAACATTCAACCCAACAGATAACTACTGAGAGTGCTAAATCATCTTTAAAGTCACTGGATCTGCGTTTGAACTACCACAATGAGTCTAAGGAGATGATAAAGGATGGAGACAAGGTAGGGGTTAACTTAACTGAGGACATGGTAAAATATGCAACTGTCAGACATGTTTTCATGAATGAAGAAAACAAAGCTTTTAGTTATGCCCCTCATTTTCATGTGGGTTCAGGAATGGGCCGTGGAGTTGTTAACAATGAACACAAAGACTGTGATAGTTATTACAGTTATTGTAAGTTTATTCCCCCCCCCCCCTTTTCCTTTGACTTGAATAAACCACAAAAATACCACAGTAATTGCTATCCTGTTTGAGGTCTGATACATGTCTCCCTTTGCCATTTATAGGAGACCATAAATAAAACAGGAAACCTTCATACTTCACACATCCGTATGGAGATTTCTGGCAACTGGAACAGTATGGATCACGTAAGTCTTTTGCCTTCCCTGTCTGGTGTATGTGGAAAAAAAATATGAGCCTAATGCATTCTGGACTGACTTTCCTGGTAATTTAGTTTCACTTTATCCTGATGCTCACATTATTAGTACAATACAAAATAGCCGAATGAGATATAGTTCTTATGATATAGTTCTTTTTTGAGCATACAGCAGTGTATTTGGCAACCCAGTCACCAGAAAACATATTGGCCTTGTATGTTACTGCAAACCATGGATAGGTTACATTTGCACATTATTAAATAGCCAATACACTGAAACTTTAACAACACTGCGCTAAACGTGGTTAGGCTTAGGTGCAAAAACTACTTGGTTATGATAAGATTAAAAGATCAAAAGATGAAATACTATGACAGCGATGTCTCAGTAAAGAACAAACTGCTTTTGGTGCCACTATCCTGGCAGAAAACGCAGCGATGTCTCAGTAAAGAATAAACCAGTTTTTGTGCCACTATGCCTGCTGGAACAACAGTGATGGCTCGCAAGAAAATACCCACGTTTGGGCACTAAAAATCTGCTGCAAACACAGCAATGACTTGCAACAAAACAAACACTGTTGTTTATTGGCTTCAAACAATGGTCTGCAGTTATCAGCTGTCTCACCTAAGTGTTATGCTCTCCACCGTACCTGGTTTTGGGGTCACAGTCCCCACTGGAAAAGATTTTACTGAGACATCAGCGATGTCTCAATAAAAACCAAAACGGTTTTCGTGTTTCTAGGCCTGCTGGAAAAACATTGACGGGTCGCTACAAAGTACACACATGTGGGCGCTGAAAAGCCATTGGAAACACAGCAATGACTATGAACAAAACAAGTGTTTTTATTGTTTATTGGTCTCAAACTGTGGTCTGCAGCTTGGCAGCCGTCTCACCTAAGTGTCACGCCATCAACCACACCCAGTTTTGGGGGCACAATCCCCGCTGAAAAAGCAGCAATGTCTTAGTAAAAAACAACTGCTTTTTATGCCACTATCCCATTATAAAAAACAGAGATGTCTTGGTAAAAAAAACAGCCACTATTTGTTGCACTATCCCTGCGGGAAAAAAAATCCAGCAATGGGATTGGAAAACACCCACATTTGGGGGCTGAAACTTTGCTGGTAACACAGGAATTAGTCACCAAAAAAAAGAAAAGAAAAAAAAACAGGTTTTGTTGTTTATTGGTCTCCAACAATGGTCTGCAACTTGGCAGCCTTCTCTCACATAGATGTCACACCATTCACCATCCCCAATCTGGGGGCCACATTCGCTGCTGGAAAAGCAGCAATTCTCACTGGAAAAACAACCCAATTTCATAGCACAATCACCGCTGAACTATGAAGAGCTGCTAAAAAAATACCAATGTTTTGAGGCTAAAAAGCTGCTGGAAAAAGATGCTGGAAACATAGTGATGGGTTGCTAATAAAACGACCAGTTTTGTTGTTTGTGGGGCTTGAACAGTGGTCTGCAGTTTGGCAGGCCTAGGTGTCACACCATCCATCATCCCCTCCACCTCCCAATGACAAAGTCAGCTCATATACTACGACACTATAGAAATATTGATATTTTTATACATTACATTTCCTATGAAACATGAAAATTTAATGTATTTGTGGTTTACAGAATCATATGATGCCAACATTTTCTTCTGGCAACAGGGCTGAATTAAAACTACACAAAATAGCTGATGGAGACGGACAGTAGTTAACATAAGAGTGGATTTTTTTGAACATATAGCAATGCAACATGTTTGTTATGCTTGTCCAGCTGATAGCCTGCTGACTCAGGATTCCGAATGTGTGTGTTTGGTTTTCAGGCAGAAACACGTAATCTAACTGCCCCAGTTTCAGACCAAATGTTTTTGTTTTAGTAGTGATGATACAAACTTAAAGGCAGCCCTTTGGAAACAGGGATGAAAGCATGAGTCATTATGTTTTATCACCAGTCATTTGTCATATTTAATTCTCATCTCCAAGTACTTACTTTAAACATCTTGTTTCTGCATTACAATTTTCTCTTCTCATTTTGTAAATATTCACAATGTCTGTAAGAAGAGACCGAAAGGTGGAGCGCTCTCTGAAACTGTGGCGGTATTGTCTCAACTGGTTTTATAAAGAATGAGATCATCCAGGAAACAGACCTAACATATACTTTTCACAGTTTCAGCCAACAGCAGGCCAGCTTGGACTGAGGTCATTATTGCTGCTTGCCGCCTGTTTGGCTATTTTACTTTACAACGGGGGTTTTGATCTTTTGCTTTCCTGGCAGCTGTACAGAAAGTGGTTATGTTAATAGAGCTTGCCGCTGGAAAAAATGCAGGGGGAAGCAAGTAAGCCTGCAAGTCAGGCAGGCAGGATAAGTTCTGCTCTTCTTAAATGACTAACTGTATAGAAATCCCCCCCTCTACAAGGAGACACACTTAAACTTCATTCAAGGAAGCCACAGTAAAGTTGGTTGACTCAGCAATTTATAGAAAATACCCAGTGAACATGTTTTTGACATCTGTGGCAATTATGTTTAGCTTTTGTTTAAAGCGATTCCAGTTAAAAATGCATCCTTAGTGTAATAATACTCATCTGGTAATTATGTCCCAACATCTTGTAATTAGAAAGCTGCTGTATCTCATGCTGACAAGATTAATTTCTTAGATTAGATTAGACTTTATTGTCCCAGAGGGATATTTGACTTCACAGTCTGTTCAAAACAAACAAAACAACACATAGGAACAATACAGAAAAAAACACAACATAAGAGACAATACACAGACTGTGATTATCAGACAACTGTCACATTCATGAGCTATTTTTGAGATAGTGACATGGCTGGTCAAATTATATTCAGTGTTTGTCAACCATACCCAGTGTTTTTACTTTTGAATCTTGCTAGCATAAATTTAGCTTTTTGGCCAATAGCTGGGCCAAAGGGTTCTATGAGCTAAACGGACTAGAAATTCATAGGCGGGTACGTAGGCATTGTCCCTTACTTGAGTTGCTTAGGCTGCTACAAAGGCATTGTTTATTACTTAAGTTACATAGGCCGCTATGTAGGCATTATCTCTCACTTAAATTATATGTAGACTGCTACACAGGCATTAGCCCTAACTTAAGTTAGGCTGCTACGAAGGCATTATTCCTAACTTAAGTCAAGTAGGCTGCTACAGTACGTAGGCATTATCCCTTACTTAAGTTACATAGGCTGCTATAGGCATTATCCCTCACTTAAGTTGCACAGGCCTGTACATAAGCATTATTCCTTATTTAAGTTACGTAGGCCTTAAAGTTGTTTTGATGATGAAAACTAAATTTCCTATCAACACAGAAGATTATTTTATGCATATAATGAGCGGAAATCGATACACTGTCACTGAGTATCCAAAACTGACACTATAGGGGGACCTAGAATGTCATAGTTTGAAGCTTAGGGCCACTGATCAAGCTGCTGTGTTCACAAATTGGAAGTGAGAATATGTTGTGAAGCCAAGCAGTTTTTTTTTCCAAGGACATGTAGGACATGACAGTGTTGAAAAAATAAAATTCAGATTGTTATGTGGGCTTTAAGAAAAGTTAAGTCTCCAAACCCACGCTGAGATAACCCTGTTAATGATGTTCTCTTCAGATTTTTAGCTCTGTAAAACAAGTAGAGAAAATACTGGTATTCCTTTTTTTTTTATTTACTAACGTAAAGCTTGTACATTGTAATTTATAAATACATTTAGAGTAAGGCCTAAATAACAAATGATACTGAATATGACAGTCTGCCGCTGCCCATGGATGGATTACTGAATGGGCCTACCAGGCACAGGCCATGGGGCCTAAAGTGTCAGGGGCTAGGAACCACAGAGAGACACAGAATGACCTCAAAGAGACACAAAACAACCACAAGAACACACAAAATTGCCACAAAGAGTCACAACATCACAAAAATGCATAACAACCTGTGCAAAGAGATGCAAAACAAAGAAAAAGAAGAGAGACAACTTGCACAAAGTCTGTGTCTTGCTCCTATGTAGAAGAGGTAGTAGGGCCTCTTAATTGTCTGTGCCCAGGAGCCAATTATATCATAATCTTCCCATGCCGCTGCCCTGCCAACAAAGGCAACAAACATTTAGCAAAGAGAGCAAAACAGAGCGGAATGGCACAGTCTGTAGAAATAAATGTATTTCATTTTTTGCTCCATAACAAACATATTATGTGTCGATTTCCCCCTTTAGCTTTGTGTTAGGAATAGTGCTACAATCGATTGTGCACGAAAAAAACCTTGGTCACATGAAAGAGCATTGGAACAGTCATTCAAGTTATAATTTCTAGTCAGAAACTCTGGCAAGATCCATCTAGCTTGAGTTTGCTGACATAAACAAACCTGATGTCACAGCAACATGGCGGCGCACATAGTGAACTGAGTAGAATGACCATGGTGCTACCAATAACCTTCAAAAGAGTCTGCAACAACACAAAGCAAGGTTTACCACCAACTGAGTGGCACTATGAAGACCAAGGAGCTCAGGTCAGGAACAAAGTTCTGGAGAAATGCAGATCAGGGTTGGGTTATAAAGAATTGTTTAAAACTTTGAACATCCCTCTGAGCACCATTGAATCCATTATTATAATATCAGAAAAAAATGTGGCACCATAACAAACATGCCAAGAGAGGGCTGCCCACCACAACTCACAGACCAGAAAAGAGAGATGAGAGAGACAACAATTAGACTGAAGGTAACTCTGAAGGAGTGTCCATAGGAGGGACCACATTAAGCCGTTCACTCCAAAGAGCTGGGACTTATGGAAGAGTGGCCAGAAAAAAAGCCCAATGCTCAAACAAAGAAATAAGAACATGTTTTGAGTTCAGCCAAATGCATATGGGAGACTCCCTAAACATATGGACTGGTCATACGAGACTAAAATTAAACTTTGGCCACTCTCTCATAAAGTCCAGCTCTGTGGAATGTACAGCTTTAAGTGGTCCTATGGACAGATACTCCCATCTCTGCTGTGGAGCTTTCCAGCTCCTTTAGGATTATCTCTTTGTTGTCTCTCTAATTAATGTCCTTCTTGCCCTGGTCCGTGAGTATTGGTTGGCGGCCCTCTCTTTGCACTTTTATTGTGGTGCCATATTTTTTCCACTTTGTATCAATGGATTTAATGGTACTCAGTGGGATGTTCAAAGTTTCAGATATATTTATAAAACCCAACTCTGATCATATTTCTCCAGAACTTTGTCCCTGACTTGTTCGGAGAGCTCCCTGGTCTTCATGGTGCCACTTGCTTGGTGGTGAACCTTGCTTAGTGTTGCTGCAGACACTGGGGCCTTTCAGAACAGGCGTGTATATACATATTGAGATCATGTGACACTTAGATTGCACACAGGTGGACTTAAAGTAACTAATTATGTGACTTCCAAAAGCAATTAGTAGCACCAGATCTTATTTAGAGGCTTCATGGCAGCTTCATAGCACATGCACACACCACTTTTCAGTATTTTATTTTTTCTGAATTTTCTGAAACAAGTTTTTTTAATTTTCACTTCACTAGCTTTGACTATTTTATTTAGGCCCATTACAAAACAGTTAAAATAAAAAATCATTTGAATTATGGGGGTGACAAGGGGGTGAATACATCATGAGTTACAGCTTAAACTACAGAGATTAAAACTAGAATGTGTCAAAGTCGGTTTAATTTAACAGCTAATTGAAGGCTTGGCTTAGCTAATTTCTCTGGAAATCACACAGGCTTAGATGCTTAAATTAGGTCTTTAGCTCAGTGAGTTGACTATGTTACTGCTCTCTGCAAAGTAATTGGTGGAAAATATTTTTATAGAAAGGTATACATGCTACTGGGCCTAAGAGAGCGATAAAAGCAGTAGTCATCTGGCATTTATTAAGCTAATTGCAGGGTATCATAGTGTGGTCCATATATGTAGCTTCCAGTGTTTCTCTGTTCTCTTAATGCTAAGGAAAGATCTTGTATATTTCTGCAAATATGTGCATACAGTACAGATGAAAGAATAAAAGTCTTCCTTTTTAATGCTTTGTGAAATGACATCTTTATGAAACTGAATGTCTCAAGTAGAGGACAATGTGTTCTGATTTTAACATCAGAGATACAGTTATGAAGTAAGGATGTATAACTTGTAAAGATGAGTAATGATGAGAGATGAGACAAACAGATTGTGCTGTCAGGGTCTTGATCCTGTCTCTGACTTTAACACAGTCCAGTCAGTCTTAATAATGCGTGCTTTCAGGGACTTGGCTGTGGTTCTATGCTGATTTTCCAGAGACAGCACACACAAAGATAAAGACTGAAAAAGGGGGTGAGTTCACAGCGGGCCAGTGCTTTTTTTTGGCAGACGCTGTTTCCTCTGACCACTGAAAAAGAGTTGAACTAAATCTCAGATATCTCATTAGCATTCCAAAATTTGACAAGAAAAGCCCAACTAAACTAGTCAGCTTTATGCTTCTGGAAAAATCCACCCTACAACTATTAGAATCTTCAACAAAGCTATATGCAGTGTTTTCTGCATGTTGTTACCCATTGTGTTCCATGCTGTACTTAATGTTCCTGCAGATCAAACAAACTTAATTTAACACCACATGTTTCCAGCTCAGCTCTGGTGGACTTTGACAACAGGAAATGTTTCAGAGATCTAAATATTTGGGTTTAGTCTCAAGCAGTGTTTGACACAGTCATGGTGGGAGTCACACGGAGAGAGGTCACATCATAGAGGAGGTGAAGTTACTCTTTCCTTTACGCTTTATAGCCCCAATAGAATGCAATCACAAGACCAGTCTCGCCATTTATGTTCGACCAGGAAACGTTTTATAAACAAACTAGAAAGAAATCTAGCATAAAGGAGAGAGGGTTGTGACAGCCTGACATTTAGACCTTCTGTACAATTCAGATGTCACTAATGCTCATCAGACAGTTTACATGGCAACCCTGTCTCCCTCAGAAGTCATCAAAAAAATCCGCGCTTGGGCAGTTACTTCTGGCGTCAGACAGCAACAAAAAAGCCATCCTTTCACGTCGGCATGATAGGGGGAAACACGGCGGGACAACAACCAAAGTTAGCGGGGTGAAAAGTTAAAGTAGGTTGGGTGGAAGGGTGGTGGATGGGTCAAACAACCACAGACTTTCACCTGGGAGATGGGTGTTGGCTTCCTGTTAGAATACTAAGCCAAAACCTGCTTTCTTTCTTAAATACCACCACGTGTGTTGTTGGATGAAAAAAACATTAACTTGTGGTGTTGTACAGACGTAGCGAGTTTATTTTGAAAGAGACTGTAGGTAAATGGTACATTTCATGTGTAAAAGTGTATTTTGAAAGCAGACAATACATGTAACAGGCTGAAGTTGACACGGCGTCCCAGAACGTTAACAACCAACGCACCCAGGGTACCTTACAAGACAAGGTTGGAGTGAGAATGTGTTGTAAAAGGAGGTGGACTGTGGCTAGCAGAAACACAACATAGTCTGCACAGCCAACTATAGAACAGGTAGATTTTTTCTTGAAACATTTTAACTTTATTCTCATTTAAGTAAGAGTTTATTTTCATAATTTTACAGCTATTTAAAAAAAAAATAAAAAAACTGTACAACTTTATTTTCAACTTTGCAGAGAACCCATATATGTGGGATATTGCTTGATTGAACATTAGCAGAAATCTTACTAAAACACATATGAGCAATTAAAGTCCAGGGGTTTATGAATTAATCAGCCATTGATGTAAATAGGTGTCACATGCACATTTAATTCAATTCAGTTCAATTCAAGACCTTTATTTGTCCCGAGGGGCAATTGATCCTGCAAGAAAGAGGTAACTTCCCTAAACAAATGACAGAAATAAGTTTGAAAAGTAAGCTACGCCTAAATGTGTGTTGACACAGCAGAGATAACATTAAAAGAGAGAAGCTGATGAAGATAAATATGTGAAAGCATTAAAGAATACCTGAGAGCCTTACTGCAATATGTTCCATTATAGCCTATGTTTATAGTTTTTAATCATCATCTATTGCCTGAATTTTGTTTTTCTTCACGTAAATAAACACATTGCCACCATAAATTAGTGCATAAAACTTCACCAAAGACAGGAAATGACATGTTTGACACTAAAAGTTTGGTGGGGGAGGAACACCAGACCCCAAATTTGTCCTAACCAATGTTTAAATGAAACCTTAGCCTTTGCATCAACCCCTTAGGAACTCATTGAATGTGGATACAGTGGACAGCTGTTACTGTGATTAAAGGAAAATGATATTTGGTAGTGTAGCATATTACAGCCATTAGATGTTTGGCATAAATGCAACTACTTTGTCTTAAATTATAATAAATAGAACATCCTTCAGAAGAAAAACTTCAACTTTTATGTTTATAAAACAGCAAAAAAACAGGCAGCTGATAATTTGCAATGACAACATTTAAATGAGTAAATCCTGGTCTACAGTCTGGTTTGACCCACTTTGTTGCATTTTGAATCAGTGCTCTGTTGTTGACTATTTCTTTTTATCTCTCAACCAAGGAATGCATGGTGGATGAGGACTGTGGTGACCTGAAATACTGCCTGTATGAGATTGAGAACTCCAAGTGCCTCCCCTGCATCCCAACAGATATGGTGGGGATTCAGTCAGTCCTGTTTCTGTGGTTTGTTTAATTAAAGCTGTGAGGTTCAGTTTTTGATTTCAGCAATCACGACTGGGAAAGAACATGTTACGCACATGTGACAGTAAGTACCTTTAACAGTAAGTCTTGTAATGTCTTACTAATACGATTTCTGGTAAAATTACATTTACTATGTTAAGTAATGCGTTACCAAATTAAGTGTTTGCTCTTTTTTATTTTTTCCTTCACCATGCCACTTCCACCAGTGCGCCACGTGTGTGTGTGTGTGTGTGTGTGTGTGTCTTATCATGTCCTTAGGGCTAAATTATAAAGCACATCTGGGTAATGCCAGATGTTTGTCAAATTAGCATGTTCAGTGTGTTTCCAGTCACATACCTACAGCGTACCTACAACAGTGGAGCAGTGCCAACACACCATCCTTGTCTTATACACAACTCTCTGTGTTGCTGTTGTAGTTAACTGGGCTATTTCATTTGTGCTCGCCATAGTGTGATTGACTGGCATGCCAATCCACTTGTTGTGATTAACTTAGCATTTTTTGTATTGTGTGTCAGATGATGAAATATATTGATGCCTTCGTCTGCCTGCCCATCCCTATGTCCAGGCCTGTTCTTTATTTACCTGCACTCGTATAGCCCCTTTCTGGTCTTCTAACCACTCAAATCGCTTTAACACTACATGTCACATTCACACACTGGTGGCCGAGGCTACCATAAAACGTGCCACCTGTTAATCAGCTTACATAAACACACACTCACACACCCATTGAATAGCCATTGGGAGCAATCTGGGTTCAGTTTCTTACCCAATTTATTGGTGTCAAAGGAAAGAACAGATGACTCTACGTCAAGCCAATAGGATCATCAACGACTCCTCTAATGTTCTGCATACAGAGTACGAGCTGTTGCCCTGTAGGAGGAGATTTAGAGTGCCTTGTTGCAGATTGAACAGATTTAAGAATTCATTCATAACTATGTCTATAAATGTATAGACAATGTTTTTGTGTTCTTCTGTTATTGCTATATTTGGTGTATAATGTTGATTTGTTTATGTACTGTGTTGTATGTTGTATTGTTATGACTGCAGCATGGGTGTAGAGCCCAAGACAAATTTCCCATTTTGTAGGACAACAAAGTTAATCTTGATCTTGATCTTGAACCAACACGTGGATTGGAGAGGGATCAAACTGCTGATCTTCCAATTAGTCTACCTCCTGAACCACAGCCGCCCAAAAGGTTAAAGTGTTCTATATCATCACACTGTTGTTAATATAAGCAGGTGATTTTAATACAAAGTGGTAACCACTGCATGTAAATTCATGAATGGGTCACATCTGTGCTCTGGAGGAGAGCCTTTGTTAGGTTGTACAATATCGCCTACTACTGGTGATGTAATGAACTGCAATAAACTTGAGCCTCTGTCCTTTGATAACCTACTTTGAAACATGACCCTCTTCCATTTTATAATGCCGAGTCATACTCCTGAGGTTATTTTGATGAAAGTAATGCTAAAGTAGTGCAACCAGTAACACATTAGTCTAAACAGACAGTAATTCAAAGTAGCTTATTACTTTCAAATGATAGTACCTAGTAATATGTAGTTCAGTGCATTTTGAAAGTAACTTACGCAACGCTGTCAACAATTGATCAAGTGTCTGTGTTAAATGGAAAAGGTGTCATTCATAGTGACAATTAATTAGTGATAATTATCACCTGACTCTGCATTTCCCTCTAAGCTTTATGCAGTGTTTCAGCCAGCAATCAATGGAGGCCAAAGCAGAGCTAAAACAAGTAAACATTGGACTTACATTCAAAAGGTGACTAAAAACATGGATCCAAATGTCTACATAGGCAGCTATTTACTTCATTACTTCAACTTAATAAGGTGATAATTAAGTGGCCAAAAAAATAGTTAATGGGGCTTTTAAGGTTGAACATGTGAGTGATAAGATATCAGCTGATCACTGTCAAAGTGAATGTAGAATGGGAAAATAGCCATGATCAAATGAGACCATGACTGAGAGAACTGGTTGCCACCAGTGGCATTGTTGTCGTGTGCCTTCTTTTCATTGTACTGAACCACTAGCATCAACTTTATGTATCACATTCCCCATAAATCATTTGCATCTTCTCACAAACAGTATCATAGTTTCTTGGTAATAGTTTTCATCTTGGTTCACCTGTATGAACAGCACCCTCTGTCTGCTCAGTGCCCGAAAGCAATATCGCTTTGTCCTGCAAAGAAACTCAGCAGGTGACCTTCCACGCAATCTGACCCACTGCTTCATAATGAAAAATAAAGTGTGGAGGCTACCAATCTACACATGCATTAATCACACAATGCAAAAAATAAATAAATAAAACAATGTTAGATAACGTGTCAATGCTGAACAGTAAAGCAGCATTAATGAATCAACTGTCAAGTGCCTTTTATGTGGAATTACTAAAAAGGGTCCATGAAAGATGATGATGGTACAACAATACATTAACCATGTATGTAGCAACTGATCATGTGTGCTTTACATACTTAATTGCATATCTGAATGTGTGTCCCCATGTAGCCCTGCACAAAGGATGAGGAGTGCTGCTCAGATGAGATGTGTGTGTGGGGCCAGTGTACAGTCAACACCACCAAAGGAACAGAGGGCACCATCTGTCAGGGTCAGAGTGACTGCAGGTCGGACCTCTGCTGCGCCTTTCAACGGGGTGAGCTTCAGCATTGACACCCTCAGAAACTGACCTGGATATGACATATAACAAGATTGACTTACTAAACCTGTCACAGTTAATGTCATATTCTACATATATACATAGAGTGCAAATACATGCTGTAGTGTATGGGGTTAGCTTTAACCCCAAACCATAACCCTTATTTTAAGTCAAGTCCGTTAAGCTGAGGTCAAATGAATGTATTATGTCTCTGCATGTCCTTCAGGTAAACTTCTTTTTTTTCTTAATTCAATTTTCTCTCATTTTTATCTATTGCATGCACTATTGTATGCATATATTAGCACACTTATATCTTTTATTGCGTCTCATATCCTTTTTTTATGTTACTTGAAAATTTTCTGGTACATTTTGTTGCAACTGCTATTATTTTAAAATGGATGTGGGTAAATTGACTGGCTTAAAATGACAAAAAACAAAAGTATTTTCTCACTAGAGACATGTAGCCATGAAGAGGCTTTTATTTGTCCAAGTTTTTAGGTATCTGCCACGGAGATTTCTGCTTCCACACCAATACAATGCACAGTGAGACGTTTAACCACTGGAGGTCAGCAAAAGTGAACTGTTCAGTGGAACAAACACTCAATGTATTGCCCCCCTCCACATATAGTATATGGTCAAAGATACTAAAGACCATGCAAATGGAAAATGTGAGGAAGACATTACTGACCATCACAGTTATTAAGAACTGACAGTCTGACATGGAAACAATAACAAGACTCTCTGACTGTTGTTTTTGAGGCATTCTGTTTTTGAGTTGTCCATCTGCTCCGCCCATGTTTGTGACCGCAATATCTCACCTTAAAGGAATTTCTTCAGATTTGGCACAAATGTCCACTTTGACTCAAGAATGAACTGTTCAAGGTTACTGTGGCCTTATGTTTGTCTCATTCTTGTGAACGTGATATTTTGTGGCCTTAGGAATTTCCTCAAATATTGTTACCTTAGAATTATACGGTTCTATCTATGGGGTGCTGTTTGTAAAGTGGCTCACGCTGAAAATAACATCAGCATTTTGCCGCATTTAGCTTCAAAAAATGTTTAAAAAAGTGTTGTGAATTTTTTAATGTCACCTTTTACCACATTTACAACAATATTTGTTAACTTAGAAATATATTAAATAGTTAAATCTAAATATTAAATGTGGCACCTAAATGTTAAATCTAAATGCTAAATCTAAATATTAATCTAAATCTAAATGCTAACTCTAAATCTAAATCTAAATGCTAAATCTAAATCTAAATCTGAATCTAAATGTTAAATCTAAATATTAAATCTAAATCTAAATGTTCTGGGTGAAACTAAATATTTAGCTAATATGCAAATTCACACTGCTGGTCACCGGAAGTACCAAATTAAAAGCTTGAGATGGTCAGACTGTGTTTATTGAATCAAATAATGAATTAAAACCAACTTATCATACATAAGTGTAACATTAGCGTGATAATAACTACCTAAAATAACAAGAAACATGTTTGGAGAAATTTTATTTGACGTGTACTTTGAGATGTTAGTGTCAGGTCAAGGTCACTGTAAAATTATGTCTGTCTCATTTTTGTCAACGTGAAATCTCAAGAGGGCCTTAAGGGAATCTCTGTAAATTTGGCACAAACATCCACTTGGACTCAAGTATAAACTGATCAGGATTTGGTGGTCAAAGGTCAAGAACACTGTGACTCCACACAACATGTTTTGGCCATAACTTAGGAGTTTTTTTGTAATTATGTCAAATTTCACACAAATGTCTGGTAGGATAAAATGATGAAGTGATGACATTTTATATTCAAAAGGTCAAAGGTCATCTTTACTGTGACATCATAATATTCTGCATAATATTTTGTCCATTACTCAGCATCATATCTCAGGAATAGAAGGGGAGATATTTGGTCAGATACTGAATTGGTGACACTAATCTTGGGTGTCCACCTTGAAACTGTGCTGATGGTATAGATCTTCTGTGCTGTCAGGGGGAAGATATGTATGAAGCATTCATGTTTTCACAGACATGGATGTTAACTGTAAGAGCAACTTGACTGGTTCGTGGAGGTATACAACTGTGTGGTCATAATTCTAGTTTCTATTTATCACACTCAGACCAAACAGCATACATACATACAGAACTTGTCTAATTTTTGATTAAAGTAATTATCTGTGGTGTTTCTTATAAATAAATTCCTCACTTGCTGCTTTCTCGCTGATTTATGGAATCTGTCCAAATTCTACAAACATGAAACATGTTCAAGCAGACATCCATGGAAAAATACTCTTGTCTGAGACTAGTCTGTGACATTGAGCCTGAGAATCTGATACAGGCTTTATGTTTTTGGTTTGTGTGTAACAGAAAATAACATTAGCAGTGATAAAATGGCCACTGTGGCTGAACAGACCAAGTAAAGACGGTTTATTATTTTTTCCCTAATGTGCTTCCTCCAGAGCTGTTGTTTCCAGTGTGTAATCCCAGACCAGAGAAGGGGGAGTCCTGTCTGAGCCACCCAAACCTGCTGATGGACATGCTGGCCTGGGACCAAGAGGGACCTCGCGACCATTGCCCCTGTGCTGACGGCCTCCAGTGCAACCCTCATGGGTGAGTGACAACATACATACAGTTACTCCTAAAATCCCCACTGTGTGATAGTTAAAGTTTGTTAGATTTAAGTCAAATATAATTTTTGCAAATTTGTACCATACATCACACAACTTGGGATAACACCAGATCTACATTGGGGGGGGGGGGGGGATAGAGAAGAAGTAAGCAAATGCATGACTGCAAATGTTTTGTTTTTCTTAATTCCTTTTTTTTCCTCACACAGGCGTGGATCTGTTTGTGGAGAATAGTACTGGAGATGGAGAGATCATGAGGACGTTATACATAATGCTGTCTGGGAGCTATACTAACATCCTCACTGAGCAGTCATCAAAGAGCAGCCCACCTGCTGATCAACACTTTATAAAAGAATAGGATGTTGCTTCAGGACAGGACTTGCACTGTATTATTTATGCTTTACTGCCAATGTGTATTATAAGGAACCAAATAAAAGACTTGTTTTTAGTTTTTACTGAGAACCAAGAAAAAAGATGTTGTGGTATCCACTGATTCAGTATGGACACAACAATTTTTTTGGTGGACTGCAGCAAAGTGGGGCCTGCCCTATAAACTCTAAAGTCTGTCTCTGACTGAGTGAGTGATGATGTTTTCTTACTGGCTGGTTGAGTGTTGGAGTTTCCCCATTGGTCGTGCTCTTTCAAAATCAATAGGCATAAAAGTGTTTCACCTCAGCTGCTGAAGGTACCAGGCCTTTATTTGAAGCAGGCTTATATTGGAGACAGACCTCTATTTCTAAATCCCTCTGATTTTAAGATCCAGTGTGTAGGATTTAGGGGGATATAATAGCAGAAATTGAATATAGTATAATAAATGCGTTTTCTTTAGTGTATAATCACCTGAAAATAAGAATTGTTGTGTTTTTGTTACCTTAGAATGAGCCATTTATATGTACATATGAAGCAGGTCCTCACCCTCAGTCGCCATGTTGCACCGCCATGTTTCTACAGTAGGCCAGATCGGACAAACCAAACACTGGCTTTAGATAGGGCCATTTGCGTTTTCTCGTCAGCCACCATAGTTAGCAGCCCCTCCACAACGAGAGAAAAACACTGATTTTTAATGTCAAACTGCTTTAATCAGTGTTTTTACTGTTTTAAAACACCTAGTTTTTTTGTTTTGAAGAGGAAGAGTCCTTTGTGGAAAATTTGGCTTACAGTAAAGACCTCCTGGACTTCTGGATCTTAAAAAGGTGGGCACACATTAGCAGGTGCTGGGCTAGCGACCTGTCTGCATCGTGCCAAACAGCATAGAAGAAACACAGATTTGTAACGTTACACTATATTCAGTGTTTTTACAAATTTAAATGTTTGTTTTGGAGAGGAAGAGACCTCTGTGAATAATTCAGCTCCTGGTAAAAACCTCCTGAATGATGAATGTTTAAGGAATTCTAACTGGAAGAAGTTTCAGCCTATGGCAATTTGCAAGCCTCACCACTAGGTGCCACTAAATCCCCCAAAGTCTTACACATTGCTCCTTTAAAAAGTATATTTGGGGATATTTTAGTTGGATTTTGCAGTTTGCCCCTGGAAAAATTTTGTTACATTATACTGTTAATACAAACGTAATACTGCCCTGTATGAGTTTAAGATTTAAAGCCCTGTAGCATTTCAGTGGACAGATCTTTTTCATTACCTGAATGTGCTTTTACATTTGAAAATTCCTGTCTATAAAAAGCTTGAACTGAGCCCTCATCACAGACTTGTCTCCAGAGTTACTGTCTTATCCTGAAGCCTGAATCTTATCCTTTTCATTGGGTGGAAGGAACTTCTTGCAATCGCATGCCTTTGTTGACATCGACCCCAGCAGGATTTGAACCCTAGGCCTTCCGCATGGAGGATGAGTGCTCTTACCACTACACTAGGGAGGCCCCTTCATCACCAAACAAAGCATTTTCTGTGAAAAATTTGCAGGAGCGTTTGAAAAATCCAGTGACTTCACAGTTCGTATACAGTTCATCAAATGTAGCTATTGCCATCTTGTGGCACTCGTATGTTAATACAAAATACAGTGTGACCAGGACATTATAACATTACCACACATACACTCAATGACTGTGATGGGACAATAACACTTCAGATGAGGAATCCAGAGAAACAAAAATGACATGATAATATTGTTGTATGCATTCAATCAAACTGATAGAAATCTACATTATGCTTAGTCGGCAGGCATATTATATTACCCGCCCATCTCCTACAAAGAGACTATGGATGTTTCTCAAAGTCAAGGAAGGATCCTCAAACGGCCGAATTTCAAGGATGCTGCCGAAGGTCTGTTGCAATGTCAAGGATCCCTACGAATTTCGCCGAGGACTGAGTCCTTCTTTCAGAGAAATTCCAAGGATGCATGTGTGTATCCTCAGCTAGTATAAAGGTGAAGACAGGGCCTTGTCAATGAAACTTGCGCCAGCGGAGCTCGGCAGGATTTAGATAAATATGTCATTTATTTGGACTAATGTCTCCAGGAGTTTTTAATCATACCAGTGTGAAAATAAATATTGACATAAATCTCGTAACTTACACTTTCCAATGTGTCCACTGCTGAATAATGAGATTTTTAAAATACCGTGATTTAGATAAAATATAAAAGTTTCCTAAATGAATCAATTACAGCAGAGATGGAGCGCTAAGTGTCCACCTGCCCTCCTCCCCCACTATCCACATGATAACGACATGATAATTTCTGTATTCTTTTGCTTTCAATTGGTGTATGTCTCAGGGGATGCTGTGAGAACTGCCACAGTAAAGACATTGGAATATCCTGCAGGTCAAAGCATCACTCATTTGTTTTGAGGTGAACATATTTCAAGAGATTACACAACAGTATCATGCACAGGCAGCAGGTCAGCTGTTTCAGAGCAGCATGTCTCATCAGATCAGATCCACTTTTTTTTTATTGTAGCGGGGTGTGTGGTGACACACACTCCGCTACAATAAAAAAACACTTCAGAATCACAGAGTGATTCTGTGTGAGAGTCTGTGTTCATACTGTAAATGATCATTTAGAACTTTTTTCAGCTGTTGTCTTTACTTCATTACTCCCCTTAGTCTTAAGTTTGATCCAGAAATAGTCTTTGACTTGCATATTGACTTACTATAGATTTTGGATTCAGATTCTGCATTTCTCCACAGAGAGACTTAATACTGAAGGCCTTTGTCCAAGCCTTGATGCAAAATAACAGTCTGCTTTTATTTTATTTTTTAAATTTTCCACCTCATTCTTTTTTTTTTTTTTAATGTTTTAGTTTCCTATTAATCTTGTGTCTTTTCAGAGGCATGTAGCCCATACTTTGAAAAGATAGGTCTCTATTTACATTTGAAACCCTTTGCTTATGCAAATATCTTAAACAGAATTTCTAGTAAGAAAAACAAATATCCTGCATATATGTTGAGACTGCACGCACCCTCCTCGAGCATAGACACCTGTGGAATGAAGTGGGAGAAGCAGTCGATTCTATATTTCCTGCTGCAAACAGAGTTAAATCTGTTTAGCCTTTGTTGCTAGCATATGCCTTTTCTGTTAGTTTAGGCAATGCTATAGTACCCATGAGCCTCACCCAACTTTTCAGTGGTGAAGATGCCAGTCAGAGCTTTAAAATTGGAGTTTTCATCGCAATCAAGAGTGGAATTTTCAGGACTCATCCAAAATCCAAATTGAACTTATACAATTTATCCAACAAGTTACACAAAGCACAGACTTTAGCTTTTGGTGACTCAGCTGTTAAAAGATTCTGATTAAAAGTGTGGAAACCCATTGTTTTTATGTTGGTTTCTCCTGCATGAAAACACACTGTATTGTAGATATACAAATGCCCTTTCCATTATGACTGGATTACCAACCTTTTATAGCAGGTAAGTGCACTGCAGCCTGAGGGGCCTCAAATGCCCTGGATTCAGTGCATGTCAGTTGGTTTTGTTCATTTGATTGCAAATTTGTAAGGGAATTTGCACCTACCAGCTAAGGTGGGTCTGGCGTTATTAGCAGGTTTTGTCTTTTAGAGAGCTTCTTTGTCAAAATATAGTTTTAAGACAATAGGTTAAGCGGGTACCAGTTTGTATTATTTCAGCAGAGTGCTGGTTTTGTTTCTGAGTCTCTGTATATACATTTCACAGAAACATGAGGAGGTCACTGTGGGCTTCTGTTCAAATTTTTACCCTGGGAGCCCCTAACAGATTGATCTGGATATGATTGCCCATGATAAAGCAACTGATACCTCAAATGAGGTGGAGATGACCATCCTTTGATGAATAGTTAGGAGGGAGCTCAGTGGGCTAAACACAATGCTGAAACATAGGCTAGTTTAACTGTAGCACAAGTAGAGATTAGATTCAGAAGGTCAGTAAACTGGCTGAATAATGCCAGTCAGCAGCATCCATCTTACTTTTTTTATATACTTTATTAATCCCCCTGAGGGGAAATTCAATTTTTTCACTCTTTTTGTCATTAACACACAGGTCCGAAAGACACACACATGCACAAACAGGACCTATACATGCACAAAGTGGAGAGATGTCAAAGTGAGGGGGCTGCCTTGGTCAGATGCCCCAAGCGGTTGGGGGGTTCGGTGCCTTGCTCAAGGGCACCCCGGCAGTGCCCAGGAGGTGAACTGGAACCTCTCCAGCCACCAGTCCACGCTCCATATTTGGTCCGAACGGGGACTCGAAACAGGCGACCCTCTGGTTCCCAACCCAAGTCACTATGGACTGAGCTACTGCCGCCCGTCCAGTGTGTAGAATTTAGGGGGATACAATGACAGAAATGGAATATGAAATTCAGAACTTTTGGCAAAAAGTTTTTATTATTGTTCAGTCACTCGAAACTTGCCTTAGAATTAACTGTGTATATCTACATATGGAGCTGGTCTTCTTCATGGATGGATTAAGAGAACTGGATACAGTGGTGATGTTGGTGTTGTTCATTCCCATGAAAGTTGATCAGTGGTGCGTGAAGCCAAATAAGTTCAACCTCCAGAAAGTAAAATTACCTGAATCTTCCACATCATTGGGCCCATGAAGCACGGACAATAGAGACTTTTCTGACCAAACAGCTAACTTCTGCTGGCCAGCTACTTCCAGTTTCACCATCTGCTAACTTGAATGGGGATGAAATTGTTTAGGCTAATTGCGCAGGTCTTCTAGACCTTTAAAATGTTATCAAACCAAATAGATCAACTCCCGATAATGAAACAAATCTTTTTGCAGGGTTTGTGACACTCAAAAAAAGGTATCGGTTTACAGATGACTCTTTCATCATGTATTTCTATGAGAAAAGGTCTTTTTGGGCCCCTTGGCATCATAAGACGGACCTGGAAATTGTAGTTACACAGTTTGACCACTTGGCTTCAGAGTCCGGCACACTTCCTGGGTGCCTGGTCCTCTTCCAAAGAGTCTCCATGTTGCTTATACAGTAGCCCAGAGCGGACAAACCAAATGATGATCAACAACGCAACAGCGTGACCAGCTAAGTTATCGCAGAGTCACTCCTGAAATGTTGTTTAAGTGCTTATGAAAGTGTATGCTACAAAGCACTTCAACTAAACATCAACAGCTACAGTTTATATTCGGTCAAA